GTCTATGCAAGACAATAAGGTTTGGGAACTTGTCCCATTACCAGAAGGTGCAAAACCAATTGGTTGTAAATGGATTTTTAAAACCAAGCGGGATGCAAACGGTAATGTGGAGAGGTATAAGGCACGTCTTGTGGCTAAAGGCTATACTCAAAAGGAAGGCATTGATTATACAGAGACTTTCTCTCCGGTTTCATCGAAAGACTCTTTCAGAATAATCATGGCACTTGTTGCTCATTATGATCTTGAGTTACATCAGATGGATGTTAAGACTGCATTTCTCAATGGAGACATTGATGAGATGATCTATATGGTGCAACCAGAAAACTTTGTGTCGGGAGACCCAAAGAATATGGTCTGCAAATTAAGGAAATCCATCTATGGACTCAAGCAAGCTCCTCGTCAATGGTATCATAAGTTTCAACAAATAGTTATCTCGTTCGGTTTTGAGATGAACATTGTTGATGACTGTGTATATCACAAGTTCAGTGGGAGTAAGTATATTTTTCTGGTTCTGTATGTGGATGACATCTTGCTTGCCACTAATGATATAGGCATGTTGCACGAAACCAAGAGATTTCTATCAAAGAATTTTGAGATGAAAGATCTTGGGGACGCCTCTTTTATATTAGGGATCCAGATACATCGAGATCGCTCTCGGGGTATTCTTGGATTATCACAAAAGAGCTATATCGATAAGGTACTTAAAAGGTTTGGCATGCAAGATTGCAGACCAGGTGACACCCCTGTTGCTAAAGGAGACAAGTTTAGTCTCAATCAGTGCCCTAAAGGTAACCTTGAAATTCAGGAAATGCAGAAGATTCCTTATGCTTCGGCTGTAGGAAGTCTAATGTATGCTCAGGTATGTACGCGTCCGGATATTGCGTACATTGTTGGGATGTTAGGCAGATACTTAAGCAACCCTGGTATGGATCATTGGATAGCAGTCAAAAGGGTTATGAGGTATCTTCAGAAAACAAAAGATTACATGCTCACATACAGAAAATCAGAGAAATTAGAGGTCATTGGGTATTCGGACTCTGATTTTGCTGGATGCCAAGATAGCAGGAAGTCTACATCAGGCTACATTTATATGTTAGCAGGAGGAGCTATATCATGGAAAAGTGTCAAACAAACACTAGTAGCTTCCTCCACTATGGCAGCAGAATTTGTAGCTTGCTATGAGGCATCCAATCAGGGAATATGGCTGCGAAATTTTGTCACGGGACTGCGCATTTTGGAAAATGTTGAAAGACCACTAAGGCTATATTGTGACAATAAATCTGCAGTAATGTATTCCAATAACAACAGGAGCTCAACTAAGTCAAAACATATTGACATTAAGTTCCTGGTTGTGAAAGAAAGGGTACAGAGTGGACAGATATCCATAGAGCACATTGGGACAAACTCCATGATAGCTGATCCGTCTGATCAGAATAAAGTTTTCAGTTAAGTCACTCTGTTACATTATGTTTGGTTTTGACCTCAATAAGGAGGACCAGTTGAAAATAGACATGTACTGATCACATTGCATGTAATTTTCATGCTGCACATCCATGATTGATCTATGTCATTTGATTGTATTAGTATATGTGACCATTGATGGGTCGAGTCACGATTAATGTGACGAAGGCCGCTTTGATCCTATATTGATATAGTCAATGGACGAGATTGTTCGGAAATACCTTTTCAGTGATAGCAATTTTTGAGCTCATAAGGTTATACACAATTTAAGGAATCATATGGTGCCCAAGTGGGAGATTGTTGGATTTAATCTAATAAATCTATTTGTGGGCACATATGATTAATCAATGTGTATTGCTATCTTTCAGGATAACCCACTAAAGTGATCAATTAAGTTGGGTTAATGGGTATTTAAATATAATCATGGGGTTATATGTGCAGATACCAGGTTGTAATTGTGATTTATTGAGGGGCTAAATTACAAAAGTACAACATCTATAAATAAGGGGTTATGATCCCTAATCTAGGGTTACTACATTCTCTAATTCTCTTCAACCCCATCTAAGAGAGAAATTCGGTTTTAGAGAAAAAACCCTAAGGTTAGAAGATCCAAAACCCAAAATCAAGATCAAGCAATGGATTCAGGTATAAGCTTCCGCTCTTTTAGATTTTTGTTAATCTCTTTGAATTAATCTGGCTATATGGTTTTAGATCTCAAGTTTTATGATGTAGATCTAACAGCTTGGTGATTAATGCCCCATTTCTGTTCGTTGAAGCTTATCAATAATTCCTTATAACATATTTCTTATTCTACCTTTTAGAAAATTGTAAGTTATATTTCACAGTTTCTCATCTTGTAGTGATGCTCACTTGCTCGTGGATGTCATCTTTCTCAATTATTCCGCATCATCTTTGGCAAGGGATAGCCTAGCTTATCATATACCCCTCTTATAATTATTTTTCTTCAATTTAATATGTATCATACATAAAAAAGTACTCGAAACTAAGTTTTTAATTTTTCAATCTTGTTCCATTATTATTTTTTTAATGAAACACTGGGGGATTTTGGCCTCACAGTTTCTCTATAAAAAAATTAACCTACAATCTTAGCATCATTTGATGATTTAATTAATAAAGCTCAGTTGTGGGGATAGACTTCATTCGTATCATCATTTGATTAATTGCATTCTGTCCAGGGTATACTGACAATATGTATATATGAATCAAATTGTTTTACTTCTAATTTTATTTTTTATGAAGTGAAGCTTCTAATGGTAACTTGCTTATTTTACTTAATATTGTATTTATTTTTCCAGGGGTCAACAGGATGTGATTCCTTAGATCCCATGCGTTATAATTTGAGCTTGATATGTCTACTTCTCATTCCATTAGAAGAAATTGATTGCAGTTCTTGCAATAATTATTTCAATATATTAATCTAATAACTTATGTGAGACCAAATAATATCATCCAAATTTACTTATTTTAATCTCTGATTACAACTCTCCTCTTTTTCGATGATCATAATCTCTTCTAAGGCGTTCCATATATATAGAAAACCTAAAAGCAAAACAGACTAGAAATTCTAAAACCAAAAACAAAACAAATTAGGAATCCTAATAACCTGTTACCAAAACAGATTAAGAATCATGTTATCAAAATAGATTATGAACCCTAATAACATGTTACCAAAACAGATTAGGAACCTGCTATCCAACAATTCTTCACCTCGACGAAGTATTCCCAAAACTGAGCCGACACCAACATGAGCACCAATGCGTCATCTCACCAAATTTGGCTGTATCAATGTGGTTGCCTGCGTACCCCCTCTCCCAAGGGATCAAGCCGCTCGTAGTTCATCCAAATGGCCGTCAACGACCTCAACAATCACGAATGTGCAATAGGCTTCTACAATGATCAAACTTGTTGCTCGGAACCACCTTAGTGAGCATATCCGCTGGATTATCCTTCTTGTGGACCTTAATGATCTTCACATCACCATCTTCAAGAACATCCTGAATGAAGTGATAACGAACGTCAATGTGCTTCGTCCTCGCATGAGAAATCTGTTGTTTGGATGTTTGTTTTGTGCAAATTTGTCGTTTGGACAGTTAACAGAGTTCATCGGTTTGTAAAATTTGATAAGGAAATGGAAGTCAACTTGTTTAATTTTGCTATAAAATTCTGTTTGTCCTTCATGTGACAAGCCATCTTAGAATTGCTCCAGGTGTCTTTTATGGAAGTCAACTTGCTTATGTGACATATGATAGTTTCATGTGACATATGATGGTTTCATGTCACATATGTTGTTTTTATGTGACATTTGTTGTTTATACGTGACATTTGGGTGTTGTATGTGATATTTGAGTGTTGCTTGTGACATTTGGGTTTTGTATGTGATATTTGGCTGTAATTTGTGATATTTGGGTGTTGCTTGTGATATTTGTTGTTTATACGTGACATTTGGATGTTATATGTGATATTTGGCTGTAATTTGTTGATAGTGAATGTGCTTATTTGTCACATGGCTATAATTTGTTTATACGTGACACATGACTGTAATTTGTGATGTGGAATGACTCTATTAGATCTAAATATCACATACAACAAGTAAAGATATCAACTTCGTTACTCAAAAAAACTACTCTAAAACTACTCTAATTTCAGTTCTTTGTTAAATTCACCTTATTTCAAGTAAAGATATCAACTTCATTACTCAAAAAACTAACTTTCAATCATCGACCACTCGTCGGAGTCTTGATCACGAGAATGTCAGCCACATCCTTCTGGATTCGGCCGCTCGCACCGTTGAATTGATGGTAAGCATCAGGATCAGCGAAGCGCGGAGGGAACGACAAGTGCCACGTCATAGAATGAGCCTCAGACATACAAGAAAACCATAGGAATCGGAGACCGGAGCTCCTTGATCTCGCCGGAGACGAGACATGGTGCTAAAACCCTCGTTCTGATCAGAATTAGCACCGAGTTTTAGCCGAGGAGGGGGTCGGGGAGGAGGGGGAAGGGGGAGGAGGAGAGGATGCAGATGAGGATGGAGGAGGAGGGGAGGAGGAAGAGGAACTTGTAGTTCCATGTGAGGTTCGAGGAGCCCACGCAGCCGACGCGGGTGCAGAGGGTGGGGGAAGAGGAAGAGGAGCCGGTGGCGTAGGAGTGGAGGTTGTGGCGTCGGCGGTGGTGAGGGAAGGTCTTGGGTTAGATTAGGAGGAGGAAAAGGATTGGGTTTTAAATGGGGAAGAAGAAGAGTAATTTGAGAATGTTTTCTTGGACAGTGGGTTTTAGGTCTTGGTTGCTCTTCTTTTTTTTTAGGGCTTTTTGGTTATAGTGTTCGTGTTTGAGGTGAGGATGTATGACCCAATTAAATTTGGTTCCATCAACCAATTTTCCCAAAAGAAAAAAAAAACCTAAATCCCCCACATGATTGAGATCCTCTCCTAATAAAGAGATTCCTAATATCTCCTAATGGAATCTTGGCCTTTGATTTATCAATCAAAGGTCAAGATCTCATCCTAAGCAANTTTCCTCACCCCTCGCGTGCCGTTCCCTCTCTCTCTCAAAAACTCCGCCGGCCGAATCTTCACTCAAGCTCCACCAATCTTCCCCTTGTCGGCAGATCTTCCCTTCGCCGGCAGATCAAGAGCTCTCACTCAAGCTCCGGATTCACCTCTACCTCCCCAAACCCCTCCACCGGCTTCACCTCTACCTTCCCAACATGCGACCCCTTCATCAAAATGTAAGTTGAGGCTTAAAAGTTACAGTTTTTTTTAATTTTGATCAGAGATTGATTTATCCAATATTAAACGAATAATGCAGGGAAAATCACAGTTTGTTGTTAAACAAATTTTGGTATTTTGTCCATTGTTGGGTTTATTAAAATTTCTTGACGATCACTGATGAAATTTGAAAACCTCTGTGTTCTGTTAGTACTTCTATACCGGTAATGGATGTGTGTGATGTATGCTGGGCCTGTTGGCTGGTTCGGAGGAAATGAAAGCGAGTTTGCTGTTGGTATAAGATCAGCTTTAGTGGGAAAGGTAAAACAAGCATGCTTCTTTACTTGCTAAAAGTAGATGTATCTAGTTTTGCTTTCACTATAATCTCATTTTTCAGATATATTTGTTTATTACATGATGCATAGCTGATGTTTAACAATTTCCATTTTATTAAATTTCATATCATGACCTTTACTTACAGTAACAGATGGTGCTTGATAGTTGAGAAAATTATATCCGAATGCTAAAATCACTGAATATAAGTTTCATTAATGATATTGTTAGTATTTTGATTCCTGCGTTTAATACACTGAGTAAGCAGTTGCTATGCATATTCCTCTGTCTTGGCTGATTTATTTGTTTTGCTCTTCCTTTCTATAACTCCTTCACATAACCTTCAGTATTCTAGACCTGTTATGCATAAAAAAATAGAGTCAATTTAACTGATGATTTTTCTTTAACTGAGTTTTAGGGATTTAGCACAATAGTTTATGCTGGTGTCGGGATTGTTAACAAATCTAATGCATACTCAGAGTGCGAAGAACTAGATTTGAAGGCATCCTAGGTCTCCTTCTATCCTCTATATTCTGTGTGCATGCCCGTGTTCTCTATCCCTCTTTAATCTTAAGGGTTTTTTTGGCATGTAGTTCACAAAATTGTTGCAAAGTCAGGAAGCTTGGCGCTCGCTATCGAAGCATAAAGAATCGGACAAAGCCAATGAATAATTCAAGTAATATGATGAATAATTCATGCTTATTTGATGAAAAAATTATCTGCAATCATTTTTTCCGCCTAATTTTTCATTCAGGAATCTAAATGGAAGATAATGTCTCCTTTTCTTAATATGCAGCTTATGATGCTTAATGGTGGATCATCTTATGTTATTACTTCTTCTGCAATACTATCCAAATTTTGAAATTCTGAAATGATAGGTGCGAGACGTGCTTGGTGATGGGTGTCTTATAAAGTGCTGTGTGCTTGATGGAAGAGGTAATCTCAAATTTCTATTTTCACCGGCGGCGTAGACCAGCGAATCTTTAGCACCTTCATGGCGGGAAAGGGCCAAAAGGCTACCCTCTCCGCCCGTAGAAAGCGTAGTAGCCTCGACGCCGGCGGCATTATCGCCATCGTCTTCTGCAGTGAGATTTCTACGGAGAGATTTCGGGGGCGAGGTTGGGGTTTTAAGGCGCGAAGTGGGACCCCCTGCTGGGCGTGGCGTGCGGATGTTTGGTGGTTGTGGGCCTGGTGGCTCTATTGTAATTCTTGTATCTTGGTTGTACGCCATCGATGTCCACAGGGGCTCGATCGTAATTTTGATTTCTTTTATAATTTTCTTGAAGAGATAGTTTTTTTCTCCTCTTTTCTTTTCTTTTTCCCCCTCCCAGTTGGCAGTTGGCTAGATCCTATTAATATTTCTTGTATTGTTGTCCCAAGTTGGGCCGATGGTAATATATTGGGCTTTCGGATAAAAGTAATGGAAGTGAAGATTACGGAAAATAAGGGCGGGCAGTGAAGATAAATCACTCATTAGTAGAAATTCCGTCTAGGATGTCTATCTGTCTAGAATGTCTATCCGTCTAGAATGGACATCCTAAACAGAAATTCCATCTAGGATGAGAATCCTAGACGAAATTTTCTAGACGGAATTTTCATCTAGAAAGCATCCTAGATGGAATTTTGAATTCCGTCTAGGTTGACATCCGTCTAGTTAGATCAACCTAGATGGAATTCCGTCTAGGTTGAGTCAACCTAGACGGAAATATCCTAGACGGATATTGATCTACTTAGACGGAATTCTGGGCAACCCAGACGGTTTTTTCCGTCTAGGTTGATCATTTTTCTACTATTGAGTGATTTATCTTCACTGTCTGCCCTTGTTTTTCGTAATCTTCACTTCCGTTACTCATATCCGAAGGCCTAATATATTACCCTTGGCCCAAACTGGGACAACAATACAAGAAATATTAATAGGATCTAGCCAACTGCCAACTGGGAGGGGAAAAAAAGAAAAAGAAAAGAGGAGAAAATAAACTCTCTTCAAGAAGTCAAAATTACGCCCCTGCGGACATGGATGGCGGACAACCAAGATTCAAGAATTACAATAAAGGCAATAGGCCATAATCACCAAACATCTGCACGCCACGCCCAGCAGGGGGTCCCAATTCGCGCCTTAAAACCCCAACCTCGCCCTCAAAATCTCTCCGCAGAAATCTCGCCACAGAAGACGATGGCTATAATGCCGCCGGCGTCGA